TCTCTCTCTCTCTCTCTCTCTCGCGTTCTCCCTTTCTCCTATTCTCTATCTCCATCCATCTCGATCCGTCTGTCCGCTTTTCTCGCTCTCTCGTTCATTCTTTCTCGTTCTCCCTTTCTCTCTTTCTCTCTCTTTCATCTTTCTTCATCCAACTTGCTTCATCCTCTCGCCCTCTCTGCTTTCCTATGTCTCGCTCTCTGTTCACCGTTTTCTCTGCCTCTCCTCGCTCCGTCTTTCTGGCCGAATACCAAATTCCAACAATTTGGGTAGGTGGGTACTTTGTTGAATCAACATGATTGGGCTTGACGGAGCTCGGCGACAGGGTGCCTCGTCTGCCGTCGTGCCGTCGTGCCGTCGTGCCGCGATTCCGGCCGGCTGCTGCTGCCGGCAGAGGACACCGCGCCGAGATCTCACCGTCTCGCTTCCTAACCCTTTCGCGGTCCCGGCGACCGGTTTCTAGCTTGTAATTCCATTAAGAGTAGACGCGGTCGAGTGGCATGCCGTTTTTCGGCTCTTCGCCCCGTTGTGTCACTTTCAAGGGCTGAAAAGAAGAGAGAGAGAAAAAAAAAGAAAAAAAAAAAGAAAGGAAAGAAAAACCGAGAGCGGGTTCGATCGGATCGACGTTATTACACTCGAGACGCGCTCCTCGCGACCGTTTCCGCGTCGACACGCGATCAATGACGCGCTAGAAATCGATCTGATGCACACGCTACACCAGGCACCCTACTCTACTTCTCTATGAAAGATTTCATCGTATCGTGCCGTTGCTGTCGCGCACCTAGGCAAAGGTAGATGTGTGTGCACGATCGTTGATCGCACGATTAACGCAGCATCACGGGTGCAAAGAGCAGCGTGTTACGCAGCGACGATCGTTCCGTGGACGATGGGGACAGTATTTACAGAGTGGCGAGAGCGTAATAGAGGCTGGCACGCAAACGACCAAGCAGGACGAATTTTCCGCATGACAAGAATCGCGATCGACGCGGTAATGGCACGGTGGTGCGCGCGGAGAGTCGCGGATAAAAGAGAACAAGGGAGTTGGAGAAAAAGAGTCTGCTAAAATGGGGGAGGCTGGAGGGGAGAAGGAAAAAGTTTAAGAAGAGGAAGCGAAAGGAAAGCGGCATGACGCACGCAGGGAACACGGGAAGGAACAAGCTCGACGATCGTGTCGCGTGTACAGTCGTACAGGAGGTGCGGGTTTGGTATGTAGGCGAGTAAGAA